GCCAAAGGCAATGTTTCCCTGTGTATTAGACCTGGGGTCCAATCAAAAAGAGCCAAATTGCACAGGGATTGGGCTGGCAAAATTGACATACTGGGCCAGCCCACCTAGATTCACTTTAACTCCTGGCGAATACCAGTGTTACAGACATAGAAATGGCACCCGTAACTTGGGTGATTTTGATGGCTGTAAGGAGATAATTAATGTGACTGATTTAGATAAGAAGGAAATAAAATTAGGAGCCTAACCATCCCTCTGACTGATGTGTGGTAGGCATGCACTAACAAAGGGAGCATTCGGCAGACATTACCAGAGGGATGGGTGGGTACTTGTGCACCAGTATTGTTGGTCCAACCTGTAAGAATTAGTCATCAAAGACCAGTGAAAGGAAGAATAATTAGGAGAAAAATAAATATAAGTCAGGAAGGAAATAGCCCAATTTGGATAGATGGTATAGGCATCCCCAGGGGTGTTCCAGACGAATACAAAGCTATGAATCAAATATGGGAGAGTTTTACTACAACATTTTTCTGGTGGGTGACAATAAACAAAAATATGGATTGGATAAATTATATCTATTACAACCAACAACGATTTATTGACCAGACTAGAGATGCAGTAAAGGGGATCTCTGAGCGATTATCCGCCATCCCGCTCATAACTTAGTAGAGGTTGGTTCTAGATCAGGCAGAAAGGGCCGGTGTCTATAGAAAGATAAGCCATTGTTGCACATTTATCCCTAACAACACCACACTGGATGCGACAGTCACCAGAGCTCTTACAGAATTAACTGCACTAAGTGAAGGATGAACTGAACTCAGAAGTTAGTACATTGTGGATAGGGTGGTTTGATGAAATATTTGGTAAATGGAAAACCCTAGCAGCCACCATCTTAGGAGCGGTCAGTGTTTGTATGGGTATTCTTGTATTATGTGGTTGTTGTCTTGTTCCCTGTGTCCGAGGATTGGTGAGTCAGGCGTTGGTGAAATGCAGTATCTAAACAATGATGAGAGATGGACTGACTCCGGACTCTGACCAGGGGAATGTGAAAAACGATCCTCCAGGCTTGGTGGATGACGAGGATTTGGACCCTGAAAGACCGCAATTGGATGAAATGTTTATTAGTTCTGATGTTATCTCTGAGATTAATCATGCTTGTAAAATACATTTATCCTGAATGTGGGAATATTTAGTCAAATGGGTGGATTGTTAGATTAATTTGGATTTTAAGAATAATTACTAAAGGATTTCACCCCAAATACAGTATAAATGTTAGAATTATCATGTAGTGTCAACCCACTAACAGAGGGGGCGGTACTAAACATTCAAGGGTGAAGGGGAAGGCGGAAACTGTTTAGAAAACCCACCTAAAGGTGGGAGGAGTCAAGTCCAGGAGGTATAAAATCGTATGTTTGTGTCTTTGGCGCCAGAGCTCTCCATGAATAAATATACAGATAATACTTGTTGGTTGTGGACCTTGAATCATTGATGATTAAAACCAGAGCTTTACAACCTCTGGTAATGATTCAAGCTGAGGTTGAATTAGAGATAGAAATTCACATGACACCCTCTCAATCAGAAAGATTTCTGGCTCCCAGGTGTCTTTTATACAGGTAACGAGTTGAGATTAGGAGCACACTCTTAAAGGGAGTGCTCCTAATCTCAGTGTGTTACCTGTATAAAAGACACCTGTCCACAGAAGCAATCAATCAATCAGATTCCAAACTCCCCACCATGGCCAAGACCAAAGAGCTCTCCAAGGATGTCAGGGACAAGATTGTAGGCCTACACAAGGCTGGAATGGGCTACAAGACCATCGCCAAGCAGCTTGGTGAGAAGGTGACAACAGTTGGTGCGATTATTCGCAAATGGAAGAAACACAAAATAACTGTATATCTCCCTCGGCCTGGGGCTCCATGCAAGATCTCACCTCGTGGAGTTGCAATGATCATGAGAACGGTGAGGAATCAGCCCAGAACTACACGGGAGGATCTTGTCAATGATCTCAAGGCAGCTGGGACCATAGTCACCAAGAAAACAATTGGTAACACACTACGCCGTGAAGGACCTGCAGCGCCCGCAAGGTCCCCCTGCTCATGAAAGCACATATACAGGCCCGTCTGAAGTTTGCCAATGTACATCTGAATGATTCAGAGGAGAACTGGGTGAAAGTGTTGTGGTCAGATGAGACCAAAATCGAGCTCTTTGGCATCAACTCAACTCGCCGTGTTTGGAGGAGGAGGAATGCTGCCTATGACCCCAAGAACACCATCCCCACCGTCAAACATGGAGGTGGAAACATTATGCTTTGGGGGTGTTTTTCTGCTAAGGGGACAGGACAACTTCACCACATCAAAGGGACGATGGACAGGGCCATGTACCGTCAAATCTTGGGTGAGAACCTCCTTCCCTCAGCCAGGGCATTGAAAATGGGTCGTGGATGGGTATTCCAGCATGACAATGACCCAAAACACACGGCCAAGGCAACAAAGGAGTGGCTCAAGAAGAAGCACATTAAGGTCCTGGAGTGGCCTAGCCAGTCTCCAGACCTTAATCCCATAGAAAATCTGTGGAGGGAGCTGAAGGTTCGAGTTGCCAAACGTCAGCCTCGAAAACGTAATGACTTGGAGAAGATCTGCAAAGAGGAGTGGGACAAAATCCCTCCTGAGATGTGTGCAAACCTGGTGGCCAACTACAAGAAACGTCTGACCTCTGTGATTGCCAACAAGGGTTTTGCCACCAAGTTCTAAGTCATGTTTTGCAGAGTGGTCAAATACTTATTTCCCTCATTAAAATGCAAATCAATTTATAACATTTTTGACATTCGTTTTTCTGTATTTTTTTGTTGTTATTCTGTCTCTCACTGTTCAAATAAACCTACCATTAAAATGATAGACTGATCATGTCTTTGTCAGTGGGCAAATGTACAAAATCAGCAGGGGATCAAATACTTTTTTCCCCTCACTGTAACAAAGAGCTGCAGTCAGCTTCAGAATGGGTGGCAAGAAATAAGTTAGTCCTAAATATTTCAAAAACTAAATGGATTTTATTTGGGACAAATCATTTATTAAACCCTAAATGTGGAATTTCAGCAAGTTGTGGAGACTAAACTACTTGGAGTAACCCTAGATTTTAAACTGTCATGGTGAAAACATATTGATACAACAGTAGCTAAGATGGGGAGAGGTCTGTCCATAATAAAGCACTGTTCTGCCTTCTTAACAACGCTATCAACAAGGCAGGTCCTACAGGCCCTAGTTTTGTCGCACCTGGACTGCTGTCCAGTCGTGTGGTCAGGTGCCACAAAGAGGGACTTAAGAAAATTACAACTGGCCCAGAACAGGGTAACACGGCTGGCCCTTAAATGTACACGAAGATTTAACATTAATAATATGCATGTCAATCTCTCCTTGCTCAAAGTAGAGGAGAGATTGACTTCATCACTACTTGTGAGAAGTATTGACATGTTGAATGCACTGAGCTGTCAGTTTAAACTACTAGCACACAGCTCATACACCAATGCATACCCCACAAGACATGCCACCAGGGGTCTCTTCACAGTCCCCAAGTCCAGAACAGACTATGGGAGGCACAAAGTACTACATAGAGCCAGGACTACATGGAACTCTATTCCACATCAGGTAACTGATGCAAGCAGTAGAATCATATTTTAAAAGACAGACACAGCGAGATCTGTGAAGAGACACATGCATACACACACAAACAATAACATACGCACTAAGAGTAGCTGCTGCCTTGGCAGGAACGACTGGGGATCCATAATAAATACAGTCATGCGAGCATAACTTTTGAAGTTATGGTTGGTCCTGGGAATTGAACCCACTATTCTGGTGTAGCAAGCGCCATGCTCTACCAACTGAGATACAGAGGACCACACACACACACACACAGACACAGTATTCAGACCCCTTGACTTTTTCCACATTTTGTTACGTTACAGCCTTAGTCTAAAATTGATGAAATCGTTTTTTTCCCCATCAGCAATCTACACACAATACCCCATAATGACAAAGCATAAACAATTCATAAAAAATAAAAAACTGAAATATTACATTTACATAAGTGTTCAGACTCTTCACTCAGTACTTTGTTGAAGCACCTTTGGCAGCAATTACAGCCCCAAGTCTTCTTGTGTATGACGCTACAAGCTTGGCACACCTGTATTTGGGTAGTTTCTCCCATTCTTCTCTGCAGATCCTCTCAAGCTCTGTCAGTTTGGATATACCAGATATATTTAATTTAAATGAAAAATTAATGCATTCACTAACTGTAAGTCGCTCTGGATAAGCGCGTCTGCTAAATGACTAAAATGTCAAATGTAAATGTAAACTATTTCACTCCACAGCTCCAACTAAATGTGGACGTGCAATGTGCATGCTTCTGGGGAGTGACCCACTGGGATGCTGTCGAAAGCGCAACACTACCTGTAGCTGTCTGGAGGAACAAGTAGTGACACGTCGAGAATTCTGAGGAACTCCAGACAACATGAAAGAGCCCATTCAAGCCTCATCAGATGAGGAAAACATTGCAGAACTACAGTAATATATTCTCCTGTCAACTCCGCCAATGCAAGAGGCGTTTGTCCACACCTGATAAATAGCTGCTGATTGTCCTTCAAATTCTTGACAATTTTTTTATAAATGATTCAGTAAATTTAGTGGAGAATGAAAAGGACTGCTACATAAGTCTAATCGGATTACTTGAGGTTAGAGCGTTGGGCCAGTAACCGAAAGGTTGCTGGTTCCAATACCGAAGTAGACAAGGTGAAAAAGTATGTTGCTGTGCCCTTGAGCAAGGCACTTAACCCTAATTGCTCCAGGGACGCTGTACAATGGCGACCCTGGCCGTGACCCCATTCCCTGTGGGTTGCTCAGGGGGAGTTGGGATATGAAAAATAAAAATAAAATTTAAAAAAACTTTTCCATTACACATGTGTATAACAGTACAAATATAAGCACCCCCCAAAAAATGATGATCTTTTAGTCATTGTTTGTCATCTGGTGTTTTCGGAGTGTCCTGACCTGCCGTAGGACGCCAATCTGCTCCATCTCCTCTCTCAGGTGTTCCATCTTCCTCCTCATAGTGAAACTGGGGTCTGACGACTCTTGACGGCTGCTTCGACAGAACGCTACAACAACATATAGGAAACATATAGAAATCACTGAAATTACACATTTGGGAACTTTCAAACAATGGACCTCTGGGAATACCATCAGGCCCTGCAGAGATGAGATCAGATTCTAGACTTTTTACTGACCTTACTCCCAGGCTTCCTTCCAACAATAATTGTAACTTTGGAATGTTCAGACTAGGGCTGTGACAGTCATGGAATTTCGACAGAGTATGGGAAACCCTGGCCTAAGCAAGCGAAGACTTGTTTGCTACAACATTTTGCTTGTTTTTAAAAAACGGTTATGATAGTTCTTTTATTTTCATGATGGTTTTCATCCATAACTGTCGGTTAACCGGTTATACAGTAATTGTGCAAGACCTAGTCCAGACCAGGGTTACCTCTAGGTCAGTGGAATGTGTATTTCAGTTTTCAGAATTGTTAATAAATACTATATATTATACACTGACTATACCAAACATTACAAACACCTGCTCTTTCCATGACAGACTGACCAGGTGAATCCAGGTGAAAGCTATGATCCCTTATTGATGTCACTTGTTAAATCCATTTTAAAATTAGTGTAGATGAAGGGGAGGAGACAGGTTAAATAATGATTTTTAAGCCTTGAGACAATTGAGACATGGATTGTGTATGTGTACCATTCAGCGGGTGAATGGGCAAGACAAAAGATTTAAGTGCCTTTGAACGGAGTATGGTAGTAGGTGCCAGGCGCACTGGTTTGTGTCAAGAACTTCAACACTGCTGGGTTTTTCACACTCAACAGTTTCCTGTCTGTATCAAGAACGGTCCACTACCCAAAGGACATCCAGCCAACTTGACACAACTGTGGGAAGCATTGGAGTCAATATGGGCCAGCATCCCTGTGCAACGCTTTCCAACACCTTGTAGATAGAGTCCATGCCCCGACGAATTGAGGCTGTTCTGAGGGCAAAAGGTGGTGCAACTCAATATTAGGAAGGTTTTCTTAATGTTTTGTATACTCAATGTATAGCATTATGCAATAATGAGACTATAGCCACTCCTAAGGAAATCTCCTTAGTGTCCTTTCTGTGGGTTCAACACCACATCGCTTGGTTTTTGTAAACCATTTATTAATAGTGAAATACCATGGAAATTCCACTGAACTCCTCCACCATTTTCCTTGGAAGGAAAGTTGATAAGGTCGTCTCACACATCATTGTTAGCATGGCAACAGAGACAAAATAATCTGGAACTAAGGTCAAAGGTCCAGTGATTGACCGGGAGTGCAGGACAGAGCGCAACTCTGACAGGGACACCATTTTCCTGTTTGTTGGATATCTATGACCCCCATTAATAGTTTGTCTTCTCATCCTCTTGCACTGAGGCACATGCTTGACACACAGTTGACATTGTAGAGTGCCTTCAGAAAGTATTCATACCCCTTGACTCATTCCACATTTTGTTGTGTTACAGCCTGAATTCAAAATTGATTCAATTTATTTTTTCTCACCCATCTACACACAATACCCCATAATGACAAAGTGAAAACATGTTTTTAGAAATTTTTGAAAATGTATTGAAAATAAAATACAGAAATGTATCATTTCCATAAGTATTCACACCCCTGAGTCAATTCATGTTACAATCACCTTTGGCAGCGATTACAGCTGTGAGTCTTTCTGGTTAAGTCTCTAAGAGCTTGGCACACCTGGATTGTACAATATTTGCACATTATTATTTTTTAAATTCATCAAGCTCTGTCAAGTTGGTTGTTGATCATTGCTAAACAGCCATTTTGAAGTCTTGTCCTTCTGTAAGGTGAATTTGTCTCCCAGTGTCTGTTGGAAAGCAGACTGAACCAGGTTTTCCTCTAGGATTTTGACTGTGCTTAGCTATATTCCGTTTATTTTTATCCCCCAAAAACTGCCTAGTCCTTGCCGATGACAAGCATACCCATAACATAATGTAGCCACCATCGTGCTTGAAAATATGTAGAGTGTAATTAATAACAACATCATGCTGAAAAGGATATTCAATGTCTGCTTTTTACCCATCTACCAATAGGTGCCCTTCTTTGCGAGGCATTGGAAAACCTCCCTTGTCTATGTGGTTGAATCTGTGTTTGAAATTCACTGCTCGACTGAGGGACCTTCCAGATAATTGTATGTGTGGGGTAAAGAGATGAGATATTACCATAACATAGTGGTTGAATACTTATTGACTAAAGACATCGCAACTTTTCATTTTTGATTAATTTGTAAAAAACGTTTAAAACATAATTCCACTTTGATATTATGGGGTATTGTGTACAGGCCAGTGACACAAAATCTAAATTTAATCAATTCAGGCTGTAACACAACAAAATGTGGAAAAAGTCAAGGGGTGTGAAGAAGTCATGAACAAATGTATCACCATGCTTGGGACAAGCTGCAACAGGTCCATACTTACACAGAATCACTCTATTACTTTCTAGATAAATGCCGTTAATAATATACCCTGCCTCATACTTGCTCACCATGTTCAAGCTCATTGCTCCATATGTTATCTGTTTTACAGTTATTTAACAGGTTAAATACCTTAACTTGAAGATATTGAAATGTGTTAATTGTATGTGTGCCATTTAATAAATAAAAGCGCGATAAGGAATGACTGTAACCCCTGAAAGATTCATTCAGGCTTACATGATCTTGGCTTCAGACCAAACACTGTGAGGGTGGTGCTAAAATCAGCATTCCGCATCACCTCCTGCAGACAAAACACATGACAAGTTTATGGGAAAGATAGATCAGACTATTTAGATATTTGCTTAAGTATGTGCTAATATTATTTGGATGAATGCGATTTTACTGTGCATTTGATTGAATAGCAATTCACACCTCACACTCATCATTCCCACTGGAGTTTCTTCGGGCACTCTGGCACTTGTACTATGAGAAGAGAAGACACATGAAGAAAGAGCTTTACTCCATGGTCTAGCCTAGAACCTAGTGTAGGCTACTAGCTGAATCCTCTCATTTATACTGAACAAAAGTATAAACTCAACATGCAAACATTTCAAAGATTTTACTGAGTTACAGTTCAGCCCTAATTTATGGATTTCATGGGTGGGCCTGGGAGGGCATAGGCCCACCCACTGGGCTTTATTACAGACAGAAATACACATCCCCCACCCACCCAAACCCAGCCTGGGGAAGAAAAGGGGTTATTTTCATAAAGTGGGTAATATGAAACGGTTAATAATATGTTCACAACTACAAGTCCAGCCATATTGAGGTGTGCATGGGGTAAACACTTGAGCTTGCTCTTGACATAGGTGCTGCTTCTAAAACAGGGAACATTAACAAGATTCACCCACAGGCAGATTTTTTTCTTGAGCAGATGGTCAGGGAGCCGGAACATAATTACATATAATTTGTAGACTACAAATTGACCACAAGAAGCCCAAACAGATATAATATTTCACTAAAACAGAATCATTTCAAACCTTGCTTACATTTGTATACAATCACATATCTCTCTATTATGCTTGGAAATGCTTTGGAACAGATTCCCTAAATTAAAACCACTTGGAGCTGATTTCCTGGTGTTTTTACAGTCTTTTATGTCCAACAATAAAACACATTAAACTTCTTTAGGCAGTCTCACTATCATCTCCATAACCCTCGAGCAACGTTATGATTTCTCTATTGATGTTTTCAGTTTAACGCATCACTTTCTCATTTACAATTATGTCTGAAACACATGGGCCACACAGAGAACATTTTTTTAAATCACACAAGCAGATCGTTTTGTCACTTCCATTTTGAACGCGTCACCTGTTTCCGTGCTACGCTGTTTGTTGCTGCATGGCTACCTGCCAAACTTGCCCTTTAATCTATCTTCATTTAACACGTTTTACCAACGTCTTAGTTATTTGTATATTTTTTACTTGCTCGACCTTTTTCATTCTACTTTTTCACCCCGGACGCTTTATCTGGACATGGTTCTACAGGACCTCTACCAGCCGAAGCTAAGTAGTAACATTAACACTATGCCATCTAATTAAAGTCGCTGTACTCATAATATACAGGAGAACTATCGCCTCATGGTGAGGATAGCCGTGCTGCAAGCACAGCTTCAGACGCAATCGTTAGGCAAGGGCAATGTAAGTGTAGGAAAGGATGAAACAGCGTCTGTGCCACCAGTAAGTACAGATAGTAGTATAAATCCCCTCGCACAGTCCCCGCAGCCGGACAATTTTCTCAAGGCTTCTGGAAAGAAATGCGGTCGGCATACTCAACCGGTGTCGCTCATTCAGCGAAAAAAACCTTTCAACCGGTTACCCCCATTAAGCAACGAGTCGGAGTCAAAGGCCGAGCCTTCTCAGGTCTCTCCTCAACCCGTTACAGGGTCTGAGCCACCGAAGCCTCCCATCATTAGCTCTGACAAATTGAAAACCCTAGTCCAGGGTTCTTCAATTCCGGTCCTGGAGGGCCGAGACACCTCTGTTTTTCATCCTCTCCTTCTAATCAGGGGCTAATTCAGACCTGGGACACCAGGTGAGTGCAATTAACTACCAGGTAGAAATAAAAAAACTGAAGTGTTTCGGCCCTCCAGGACCGGAATTGAAGAACCCTGCCCTAGTCATTGGCGACTCCATTACCCGCAATATTAGACTTAAAAATAAGCATCCAGCGATCATACACTGTTTACCAGGGGGCAGGGCTACCGACATAAAGGCTAATCTGAAGATGGTGCTGGCAAAGGCAAAAACTGGCGAGTATAGGGATATTGTTATCCACGTCGGCACCAACGATGTTAGGATGAAACAGTCAGAGGTCACCCAGAGCAACATAGCTTCAGTGTGTAAATGTGCTAGAAAGATGTGTCGGCATCGAGTAATTGGCTCTGGCCCCCTCCCAGTTAGGGCGAATGATGAGCTCTACAGCAGAGTCTCACAACTCAATGGCTGGTTGAAAACGGTTTTCTGCCCCTCCCAAAAGATATAATTTGTAGATAATTGGCCCTCTTTCTGGGACTCACCCACAAATGGACTCCATCCTAGCTGGAGGGGTGCTCTCATTTTATCTACCAACATAGACAGGGCTCTAACTCCTCTAGCTCCACAATGAGATAGGGTGCAGGCCAGGCAGCAGGCTTTTAACCAGCCTGCCAGCTTAGTGGAGTCTGCCACTAGCACAGTCAGTGTAGTCAGCTCAGCTATCCCCATTGAGACCATGTCTGTGCCTCGATCTAGGTTGAGCAAAACTAAACATGGCGGTGGTTGCCTTAGCAATCTCACTGGAATAAAGACCCCCTCCATTCCTGTCATTATTGAAAGAGATTGTGATATCTCACATCTCAAAATAAGGCTACTTAATGTTAGATACCGCAGTTATGGTCAATGAACTAATCACTGATCATAATCTTGATGTGATTGGCCTGACTGGAGGTGTTGCTAACATTTACGATAGCAAATGTCAATTTACCCCCCCCCCCAAAAAAAAAAAAGATATGACTGCGTTTTTGTCTTTTGAGCTTCTAGTCATGAAATCTATGCAGCCTACTCAATCACTTTTTATAGCTACTGTTTACAGGCCTCCTGGGCCGTATACAGAGTTCCTCACTGAGTTTCCTGAATTCCTATCAGACCTTGTAGTCATGGCAGATAATATTCTACTTTTTGGTGACTTTAATATTCACATGGAAAAGTCCACAGACCCCACCCCAAAAGGCTTTTGGAGCCATCATCTCCTCAGTGGGTTTTGTCCAACATGTCTCCGGACCTACTCATTGCCACAGTCATACCCTGAATCTAGTTTTGTCCCGTGGAATAAATATTGTGGATCTAAATGTTTTTCCTCATAACCCTGGACTATCGGACCACCATTTTATTACGTTTGCAATCGCAACAAATAATCTGCTCAGACCCCAAACAAGGACCATCAAAAGCCGTGCTATAAATTATAGGACAAGCCAAAGACTCCTAGAGGCCAATCCAGACTCCCTCCACTTACTCAAGGATGTCGGAGTATAAAAATCAGTTAACAACCTAACTGAGGATCTACATTTAACCTTGCGTAATACCCTAGATGCAGTCGCACCCCTAAAAACAAAAAACATTTGTCACAAGACACTAGCTCCCTGGTATACAGAAAATACCCGAGCCCTGAAGCAAGCCTCCAGAAAATTGGAACGGAAATGGCGCTCCACCACACTGGAAGTCTTCCTACTACTTGGAAAGAAAGTACAGAGCAATATCGAAGAGCCCTCACTGCTGCTCGATCATCCTATTTTTCCAACCTAATTGAGGAGAATAAGAACAATCCAAAATGTATATTTGATACTGTCGCAAGGCTAACTAAAAAGCAGCATTCCCCAAGAGAGGATGCCTTTCTCTTCTGCAGTGATGAATTCAACTTCTTCGATGAAAAGATCATGATCAATAGAAAGCAAATTACGGACTCCTCTTTAAATCTGCGTATTTCTCCAAAGCTCAGTTGTCCTGAGTCTGCACAAAACTTCCAGGACCTAGGATCAATGGAGACACTCAAGTTTTTTAATCCTGTCTCTTGACACATTCATGAAAATAGTCATGGCCTCTAAACCTTCAAGCTGAATACTGGACCCTATTCAAACTAAACTACTGAAAGAGCTACTTCCTGTGCTTGGCCCTCCTATGATGAACATAATACATGGCTCCCTATCCACTGGATGTGTACCAAACTCACTAAAAGTGGCAGTAATAAAGCCTCTCTTGAAAAAGCCAAACCTTGACCCAGAAAATGTAAAAAACTATTGGCCTATATTGAATCTCCCATTCCTCTCAACATTTTTAGAAAAAGCTGTTGTGCAGCAACTCACTGCCTTCCTGAAGACAACAAATGTATACGAAACAGACCAAGGCTCTGCATCTGTCCTTGTGCTCCTAGACCTTAGTGCTGCTTTTGACACCATCGATCACCAGATTATTTTGGAGAGATTGGAAATCTTAATTGGTCTACACAGACAAGTTCTTGCCTGGTTTGATCTTATCTGTCGGAAAGATATCAGTTTGTCTCTGTGGATGGTTTGTCCTCTGACAAATCAATTGTAAGTTTCGGTGTTTGTCAAGGTTCCATTTTCACTATATATTTTACCTCTTGGTGATGTCATTCGGAAACACAATGTTAACTTTCATTGCTACACACAGCTCTACATTCCGATGAAACATGGTGAAGCCCCAAAATTGCCTACCCTGGAAGCATGTGATTCAGACATAAGGAAGTGGATGGCGGCAAATGTTTTACTTTTAAACTCAGACAAAACAGAGATGCTAGTTCTAGGTCCCAAGAAACAAAGAGATCTTCTGTTGGATCTGACAATTATTCTTGATGGTTGTACAGTCGTCTCTGGACCCTGATCTCAATTATTCTTGATGGTTGTACAGTCGTCTCTGGACCCTGATCTCTCTTTTGACGAACATATCAAGAATATTTCAAGGACAGCTTTTTTCCATCTTCGTAACATTGCAAAATTCAGAAACCTTTTGTCCAAAAATGATGCAGAAAAGCTAATCCATGCTTTTGTCACTTCTAGATTAGACTACTGCAATGCTCTACTCTCCGGTTACCTGAATAAAGCACTAAATAAACTTCAGTTAGTGCTAAACACGGCTGCTAGAATCTTGACTAGAACCAAAAAATTTGATCATATTACTCCAGTGCTAGCCTCTCTACACTGGCTTCCTGTTAATGCTAGGGCTGATTTCAAGGTTTTACTGCTAACCTACAAAGCATTACATGGGCTTGCTTCGACCTCTCTCTCCGATGTGGTCCTGCCGTACATAACTACACGTACGCTATGGTCACTAGACGCAGGCCTCCTTATTGTCCCTATAATTTCTAAGCAAACAGCTGGAGGCAGGGCTTTCTCCTATAGAGCTCAATTTTTATGGAATGGTCTGCCTATCCATGTGAGAGACGCAGACTCGGTCTCAACCTTTAAATCTTTACTGAAGACTCATCTCTTCAGTAGGTCCTATGATTTGAGTGTAGTCTGGCCCAGGGGTGCGAAGGTGAACGGAAAGGCACTGGAGCGACAAACCGCCCTTGCTGTGTCTGCCTGGCCAGTTCCTGTCTCTCCATTGGGATTCTCTGCCTCTGACCCTATTACGGGGGCTGAGTCACTGGCTTACTGGTGCTTTCCATGCCGTCCCAAGAGGGGTGCATCACTTGATGTGATCTTCCTGTCCGGTTTGTCGCGCCCTCGGGCTCGTGCAGTGGAGGAGATCTTCGTGGGCTATACTCAGCCTTGTCTCAGGGTAGTAGGTTGGTGGTCTGTTGATATCCCTCTGGTGGTGTGGGGGCTGTGCTTTGGCAAAGTGGGTGGGGTTATATCCTGCCTGGTTGGCCCTGTCTGGGGGTATCGTTGGACGGGGCCACAGTGTGTCTCCCGACCCACCCCCATCTCAGCCTCCAGTATCTATGCTGCAATAGTCTATGTGCCGGGGGGCTAGGGTCAGTCTGTTATATCTGGTGTTATTCTCCTGTCTTATCCGGTGTCCTGTGTGAATTTAAGTATACTCCCTCTAATTCTCTCTCTCTCTCCCTCCCATCCCGGAGGACCTGAGCCCTAGGACCATGCCTCAGGACCACCTGGCCTGATGACTCCTTGCTGTCCCCAGTCCACCTGGTCGTGCTTCTACTCCATTTCCACTCTTCTGCCTGCGGCTATGGAACCCTGACCTGTTCACCGGACGTGCTACCTTGTCCCAGACCAGCTGTTTTCAACTCTCTCTCGCTCTACCGCACCTGCTATTTCAACCTCTAAATGCCCGGCTATGAAAAGCCAAGTGACATTTACTCCTGATGTACTGACCTGTTGCAACCTCTACAACCACTGTGATTATTATTTGACCCTGCTGGTCATCTATGAACATTTGAACATCTTGGAGAAAAATCTGGCCTTAATGGCCATGTACTGTTATAATCTCCACCCGGCACAGCCAGAAGGGGACTGGCCACCCCTCAGAGCCTGGTTCCTCTCTAGGTTTCTTCCTAGGTTTCTGCCTTTCTAGGGAGTTTTTCCTAGCCACCGTACTTCTACATCTGCATTGCTTGCTGTTTGGGGTTTTAGGCTGGGTTTCTGTATAGCACTTTGTGACATCTGCTGATGTAAAAAGGGCTTTATAAATAAAATCTGATTGATACCTAGTATGATGGAAAGCTGCTTTTAATGGCCTATGCTTCAAGTAAGTAAGAGTGCATTGTGAAAGTCATGGTCTCATACCTTTAGATAATCTTTCCTCAGATACTTGTTCCTCCTGCGCTCCTCGTTCTGGTTGAGTACGGGTGGAACCTCTGGCCATTTTGGCTCTGTGTCAGACTCTGACTTCAGACTGCCATCGAAGGAGCAGGAAGAGGACGGCTGCAGTGAGACAAAGGTGAAAGGTCAAGGTACTGGACACTGTACTGATCAAATGGCAATGCAATAATGAACAAAAAAACCTTAGCTTAAGCAGCACAAGCCTTTAATATAAAGGGGTGAAGTCTAAAGCCTCCCCTTACATCACTAAAGGTAAAAAGGTAACATGCACACAAGTGGAGGCTGCTGAGGGGAGAACGGCTCATAATAATGGCCGGAATGGAGCAAATGGAATGGCATCAAACACCTGGAAACCATGTGTTTGATGTATTTGATACCATTCCACTGACTCCGCTCCAGGCATTACCACGAGCCCCAATTAAGGTGCCACCAACCCCCTGTGATGCACACAGACACATCATCACATGCATGATGATGAGGGTGAGAAAACAAAGGAATGAATGGGTGACCTCAGAGAAAGCCGTGTCATCGTCTGTGAAGTCAGGGTTCTTTCCGGAGACAGAGAGAAAGAAAAATATGAGTGAAACCCAGACACCAAAACCAAAGACCACACACACATTGACACTTTAAAAGTGGAACTGAAAATATGACTGAATTTTGCCGATGAGATGAATGAATGAAAAGGAAGAAATCATTGCTAGTATTACTCGCACAAATGGAAAGAATGAATTGTTTGTTTCCTGTAGGAAACAGAAGGTACAGAAAGTCCAGTTCATTACCTGCCCACTCAGCACTGACGCTCCACTGCTCCCTTCATCCAGAGAGGCACTGCGAGTGAGACAGGAAAACACACCGACTCACTCTGTGTCACACATACAAACTTACATTTGTGCGCAATACCGGTATTTGCAGTATACTGGAGAATGTGTGTCAGCACTAGAGGGCAGCCAACAATAAATAACACCAGACAGACACAGAGTTTTTACTTTAAACACCTTACTCATCATCATACTCATACAATATGATTTGTGCTTACTCATACTCTTGTCATAGTAGTTACTCGTAGTAATAGCTATACTATGACAATATCCTATAACATGAGTCATGGGGCCAGTTTCAACGGAGCATGAATGGACCATGCTTTTTACTCCATTACTAAGCTTAACCTGTGCCCAGGAAACCATTTAGTTTTATGCAACCGAACCATGGTCTCGTTGATACGGTATACAGTACACACCTGTCAGAGCAGAATGTGAGGGGCAGTAGTCGTGTTGAGGCAGAGCTGTGCTGTACGTACCTGCGGATGGCCTGGCAGGAGGACCTCTGTTTGCTGCTGGAGCTGCCAGAGTGACTGAGGAACCTGGACAGGTAAACATAGGGAGGAGGCATTATTAAGCAATAAGGCCAGAGGAGGTGTGGTATATGGCCAATATACCACGGCTAAGGGCTGTTCTTACGCACAATGCAACGCGGAGTGCCTGGACACAGCCCTTAGCTGTAGTATTTTGGCGATATATCACAAACCCCCGAGGTGCCTTATTGCTATTATAAACTGGTTACCAACGTAATTAGAGCAGTAAGAATAAATATTTTGTCATACCCGTGGTATACGGTCTGATATACCACGGCTGTCAGCCAATCAGCATTCAGGGCTCGAACCACCCAGTTTATAAGTAAGGATTAGTACAATTTCTCGGTTTTCTTTGCAGGCACAATGTGTTAAGACAGCCATGGTATGGAAGGTGGATTTAAGACCTGGAGACCAACAGACAATATCTCTAATGCGGTGTTTCTTAATTCTGGTCCTGGGGACCCAAACAGGTGCACATTTTTGTTTTTGCCTTAGCACTACACCTGGTTCAAATAATCAAAACTTGATTTCATGATTGAGTTGATCATTTGATTCAGCTGTGTAGTGCTAGGGCAAAAACTAAAATGTGGGTCTGCAGGACCAGAATTAAGGAACACTGCTCTAATGGTGTGCATCCATGTCATCTCACAACAACATTCAAAAACGTGTAGTTTCAGGCACAGAAACATTTCAAAATAATTTAACATGCACCACCTGAGTCTTGCATACATACATCCACCTCCTTTAGCTTTCAAAATCTCACTCTGTCACACATATATCTCCCTCTACCTGTGTGCTCGGCCGGCAACCCTCCTTCGATGAATTAGACTCTCTGCTCTACAAATTAAGGACCGTCGTCTAGTAGCCACACATCATATGTGTGCACCAATCAGGTCCAAGGAAGAGGGGAGGTTGGGGAGCAGGAGATGGATGAAGCAGGGAGGGAAGAAGAGAAGAGGGGAACCAATGACGGGGAGGGTTGTTAGTTGCAGAGCGGGAAGAGAGATAGTTAGAACGTGGTGATGGAGTAACTTCAGGAGAAAAAGGAGCAGTAAAATGTCTGGAAAGGACCTAAGCTCTGCCTATATAATGGATAAAATGCAGAGAATATAGAAAAACCCAATACAAAAGAAATGATAACATGTACTCTTCACATATCACCTGCTGTCTGCAACAGTTATGGCTGGCTCTCGCTGACTATTGATTGTAAGTAAGCTACACTGAACAAAAATATAAATGCAACTTGCAACAATTTCAAAGATTTTACTGAGTTACAGTTCATATAAGGAAACCAGTCAATTGAAATAAATTCATTAGGCCCTAATCTATGGATTTCACATGACTGGGAATACAAACATGCATTTGTTGGTCCCAGATACCTTTAAAAAAAAGTAGGGGCGTGGATCAGAAAACCAGTCAGTATCTGGAGTGACCACCATTTGCCTCATGCAGCACAACACATCTCCTTCACATAGAGTTGATCAGGCTGTTGATTGTGGCCTGTGGAATGTTGTCCCACTCCTCTTCAATGGCTGTGCGAAGTTGCTAGATATTGGAGGGAACTGGAACACGCTGTCGTACACATCGATACAGAGCATCCCAAACATGCTCAATGGGTGACATGTCTGGTCAGTATGCAGGCCATGGAAGAACTGGGACATTTTCAGCTTCCAGGAATTGTGTACAGATCCTTGCGACATGGGGCCGTGCATTGTCATGCTGAAACATGAGGTGATGGCGGCGGATGAATGGCACGACAATGGGCCTCAGGATCTCGTCACGGTATCTCTGTGCATTCAAATTGCCATCGATAAAATGCAATTGAGTTCGTTGTCCGTAGCTTATGACTGACCATACCATAACCCCACCGCCGCCATGGGGCACTCTGTTCACAACGTTGACATCAGCAAACCGCTCGCCCACACAACGCCATCTGCCCGGTACAGTTGAAACCGGGATTCATCTGTGAAGAGCACACTTCTCCAGCGTGCCAGTGACCATTAAAGGTGAGCATTTGCCCACTGAAGTCTGTTACGATGCCGAACTGCAGTCAGGTCAAGACCCTGGTGAGGAAGACGAGCATGCAGATGAGCTTCCCTGAGATGGTTTCTGACAGTTTGTGCAGAAATTCTTCAGTTGTGCAAACAGTTTCATCAGATGTACGGGTAGCTGGTCTCAGACAATCCCACAGGTGAAGAAGCCGGATGTGGAGGTCCTGGGCTGACGTGATTACACTTGGTCTGCGGTTGTGACGCCGGTTGGACGTACTGCCAAATGACTTTGGTAGAAAAATGAACATTCAGTTCTCTGGGCCCCGTGTAGCTCAGTTGGTAGAGCATGGCGCTTGCAACACCAGGGTTGTGGGTTCGATTCCCACGGGGGGCCAGTATGAAAATGTATGCACTCACTAACTGTATGTCGCTCTGGATAAGAGCGTCTGCTAAATGACTAAAATGCAAATGTAAAATGAAACAGCTTGGGTGGACATTACTGCAGTCAGCATGCCAATTGCACGCTCCCTCATGGGACCAACACTTTACATGTTGCGTTTATATTTTTGTTCAGTATAATAACTGTGGTTAGAAGCCCAATAATGATGCAGAAACCCATAACTGTCAGGGGTGTAAATCAAGTCCTTATCGTCACCACCCAACATTCTGGGAAACTGAAAAGAAGAGTCCCTCCCCTTCCCAACCCTCTCCTCCAAGAACATCCCAGGACATTCCTGCCCTTGCACTGAAGAGAGGTCAAGGGTAGAGAGAGGGAGCAGATGTGAGGTGGGGTGGGGATGCTGAACTAAGCAGTGGTGTAGACAGAGAGATATTGTACGACCCTGCCTTACACAGGAAGCGGCACAGGTCCTAATCCAGGCACTTGTCATCTCCCGTCTGGATTACTGAAACTCGCTGTTGGCTAGGCTCCCTGCCTGTGCCATTAAACCCCTACATCTCATCCAGAACGCCGCAGCCCGTCTGGTGTTCAACCTTCCCAAGTTCTCTCACGTCACCCCGCTCCTCCGCACACTCCACTGGCTTCCAGTTGAAGCTTGCATCTGCTACAAGACCATGGTGCTTGCCTACGGAGCTGTGAGGGGAACGGCACCTCTGTACCTTCAGGCTCTGATCAGTCCCTACACCCAAACGAGGGCATTGTGTTCATCCACCTCTGGCCTGCTGGCCCCCCTACCTCTGCGGAAGCACAGTTCCCGCTCAGCCCAGTCAAAACTGTTCGCTGCTCTGGCACCCCAATGGTGGAACAAGCTCCCTCACGATGCCAGGACAGCGGAGTCACTCACCACCTTCCGGAGACACTTAAAACCCCACCTCTTTAAGGAATACCTGGGATAGGATAAAGTAATCCTTCTACCCCCCCCTTACCCCACCACAAAAAATTAAATAAAATAAAAAAATAATTGTAAAGTGGTTGTCCCACTGGCTATCATAAGGTGAATGCACCAATTTGTAAGTTGCTCTGGATAAGAGCGTCTGCTAAATGACATAAATGTAAATGTAATATTGGGCTAGGGGCAGTGGTGTGGAGGACAGAGGCTGTGTCTACACTTGACACTTACATGCAACTTCTGCTATCAGAATACGAAGCTTGCATTGAAAACACGGGTCTAGACACACAAAAGTCACTTTGTGGTCTGATTGTGTTCAGATCTGACCACTTCAGGAGTTGGTCAGGGATGCATTGTGTGCGGATTTCTCCTCAGTCTGGATGCAAGAGAGATACATTATGGCACTAGGGGCAGGGCAGAGCTCAGGGTGAGGTGAGGTCAGAGAGGAGTGGCCATGGCAGGCGTCAGAGGTCAGCCTCTTACCTGTTCTGTTGCTCCTGCTGCAGGAGCTGGACAGCGATCTTCCTCAGATCCAGCACCTCCTTCAGCTCATCCTCATCCTCTTCAACTAGCTGATCTTTATCAGAGCTGCAGGAAACAGGGACATGACAGTTCAGTTAGAAGCCAAAACCTATGCCACCTACTTCACACTCACTATAATAGCATTAACTGAGTATGTGGCCATACTATAGTGGCAGATATCCAACGACATAGCCTTCTCAGCATGTCTACTGTCTGGGCCTGTTGTTATATTATGTCACTACTGGTATTATCTACAGCTGCTAATTATCAACTCACCTACAGTACATTAACTATTAATTAATTATTTAAGGAGACTGATAGATCAATATTATTTCAGTTCAAGCTTATAGAACTTAAAAGGTGAATTTTCTTCCCTTCCTCCTTCCTTCTGTCTATCCAAGTGTAGTGATGACTTACCCAGACTCCTCTTTCCAGTTCTCCTTATCTTTGCTTTGGTGTGACTTGTTAAGAACCTTCTCCAATTCCTGACACACAGAACAAAAAGTCAGTTGTACTAACTCAATAAAATCATTTTTATAACAGATACAGTACCAGTCAAAAGTTTTAGAACACCTACTCATTCCAGGGTTTTCTATATTTTTACTATTTTCTACATTGTACAATAATAGTGAAGACATCATAACTATGAAATAACACATATGGAATCATGTAGTAACCAAAAAAGTGATAAACAAATAAACAAATATTTTATATTTGAAACTCTTCAAAGTAGCCACCCTTTGCCTTGATGACAGCTTTGCACACTCTTGGCATTCTCTCAACCAGCTTCATGAGGTAGTCACCTGGAATGCATTTCAATTAACAGGTGTGCCTTGTTAAAAGTTAATTTGTGGAATTTCTTTCCTTCTTAATGTGTTTGAGGCAATCAGTTGTGTTGTGACAAGGTAGGGTTGCTATACAGAAGATAGCCCTATTTGGTAAAAGACCAAGTCCATATTATGGCAAGAACTGTTCAAATAAGCAAATAGAAATGACAGTCCATCATTACTTTAAGACATGAAGGTCAGTCAATCCGGAACATTTCAAGAACTTTGAACGTTTCTTCAAGTGCAGTCACAAAAACCATCAAGCACTATGATGAAACTGGCTCTCATGAGGTCCGCCACAGGAATGGAAGACCCAGAGTTACCTCTGCTGCAGAGGATAAGTTCATTAGAGTTAACTGCACCTCAGATTGCAGCCCAAATAAATGCTTCACAGAGTTCAAGTAACAGACACATCTCAACATCAACTGTTCAGAGGAGATTGCATGAATCAGGCCACGAGCAATGGATATTAGACCGGTGGAAATCTGTCCTTTGAGATTTTTGGTTCCAATCGCTGTGTCTTTGTGAGACGCAGAGTAGGTGAACGGATGATCTCTGTATGTGTGGTTCCCACCGTAAAGCATGAAGGTAGAGGTGTGATGGTGTGGGGGTGTTTTGCTGGTGACACCGTCAGTGATTTATTTAGAATTCAAGGCACACTTAACCAGCATGGTTACCACAGCATTACGCAGCGATACGCCATCCCATCTGGTTTGCGCTTAGTGGGACTAATCATTTGTTTTTCAACAGGACAATGACCCAACACACCTCCAGGCTGTGTAAGGGCTATTTTACCAAGAAGGAGAGTGATGGAGTGCTGCATCAGATGACCTGGCCTCCACAATCCCCCGACCTCAACCCAATTGAGATGGTTTGGGATGAGTCGGACCGCAGAGTGAAGGAAAAGCAGCCAACAAGTGTATGTGGGAACTCCTTCAAGACTGTTGGAAAAGCATTCCAGGTGAAGCTGGTTGAGAAAATGCCAAGAGTGTGCAAAGCTGTCATCAAGGCAAAGGGTTGCTACTTCGAACAATCTAAAATGTAAAATATATTTTCATTTGTTTAACACTTTTTTGTTTACTACATGATTCCATGTGTTATTTCATAGTTTTGATGTCTTCACAATTTTTCTACAATGTAGAAAATAGTACAAATAAAGAAAAACCCTTGAATGAGTAGGTGTGTCCAAACTTTTGACCGGTACTGTATGTAAAAGTAAAACCCCCACACCATTGTCCAAGTTCAATCACAGCACATTTCATTTGACCTTCAAGGTGTGTGGCTTTTTCCACAGGTTTCCACAACAACAACAAAAATATAGAGATGATCTGTTGGCTTTTTCCAACCAAATCTATGGCATTTGAGATTCCACACCTGATGCCTTTCAAGCTTTTGTCTCGATGAAAGATAAGATTAGTTTAAAGCCCTGATCAAGCTTGTACCAAAACCTTCCATACTTCGGAACTAACAGTGGAAAAGAACAGGCACTAGTTGCACACACTAGCTCACCCAGGGATAGCTCGACAGTGGAAGACTAATGTAGTTTATGGTGTACATGTAGTGGCCATACAGCTCTCTATGGATCCCTGGTGATGTACCTTTATACATGAGATGTAGGGTCCACTCTGCTGCCTATCCCCCTCTGACAGGGCAGCATCTTCCTCTGGGTTGGGTTCGATGAAGTCATAGGGGACCTGATCTACGGGACAACATACCAGACTAAGACTCAGACTAATGTGCTTGTTGCCAGTTGAACACATTATTGCTCAAACACCGTTTTTTCAAACAGTCAAATCCACTGCATCTAAACAGGTCTTACCTTTGCCTGAGTCCATCTTGGAGAGCAGAGAGATGGCATCGGCACGGGCCGTATCTGACACCTGAGAATGCAGGCTGATGGTATCATCGTCAGAGGGCTAGAGGAAAAGAGGGAGGAGGAAGAGGAAGAGGAGGAGGGAGCTCAGGGTTAAAGTGAGCATAAAGCATAGAGTTCAGGTCTACTGAACATGTCTGCAGAATAACTGCAAAGCGTCAGGATCAATTTTTTTATTTTACCTTTATTTAACTAGGCAAGTCAGTTAAGAACAAATTCTTATTTACAATGACGGCCTACACTGGCCAAACCCGGACGACGCTGGGCCATGGTTGAATGCACAACAACAGTCCTCAGTACAGTCTAGGCCTTAGTACAGCCTGACTACAGTGGGTGAACTCTGACCTCTGTCGCAGACAGTCTTTTATCCCCGTTGTCACTGCCGATGCCAGAGTCAGGCCCGTGGTTCTTACTGGGGTAGAAATCCTCCATGCTGCAGAGACATATAAAGGGAGAGTTAATAATAAAACAGTCAGACACTTTTGATTAAGACACATTCATGACAATTTCGTAAGCACTTCACAATATGTCGAGACCTGTGTCATTAATCTTCAAATATGTCATACCAGTTCTCATTACAGTTTCATGGCACATACTGCATATTCACGCCATTCATGATGCATATGGTCAATGGTCTTGTCTGTAGTATACTTAAGCAATAAGGCATGAGGGGGTGTGGTATATGGCCAATACAGTGGGGAAAAAAAGTATTTAGTCAGCCACCAATTGTGCAAGTTCTCCCACTTAAAAAGATGAGAGAGGCCTGTAATTTTCATCATAGGTACACGTCAACTATGACAGACAAATTGAGGAAAAAAAATCCAGAAAATCACATTGTAGGATTTGTAATGAATTTATTTGCAAATTATGGTGGAAAATAAGTATTTGGTCACCTACAAACAAGCAAGATTTCTGGCTCTCACAGACCTGTAACTTCTTCTTTAAGAGGCTCCTCTGTCCTCCACTCGTTACCTGTGTTAATGGCACCTGTTTGAACTTGTTATCAGTATAAAAGACACCTGTCCGCAACCTCAAACAGTCACACTCCAAACTCCACTATGGCCAAGACCAAAGAGCTGTCAAAGGACACCAGAAACAAAATTGTAGACCTGCACCAGGCTGGGAAGACTGAATCTGCAATAGGTAAGCAGCTTGTTTTGAAGAAATCAACTGTGGGAGCAATTATTAGGAAATGGAAGACATACAAGACCACTGATAATCTCCCTCGATCTGGGGCTCCACGCAAGATCTCACCCTGTGGGGTCAAAATGATCACAAGAACGGTGAGCAAAAATCCCAGAACCACACAGGGGGGCCTAGTGAATGACCTGCAGAGAGCTGGGACCAAAGTAACAAAGCCTACCATCAGTAACACACTACGCCGCCAGGGACTCAAATCCTGCAGTGCAAGACGTGTCCCCCTGCTTAAGCCAGTACATGTCCAGGCCCGTCTGAAGTTTGCTAGAGTGCATTTGGATGATCCAGAAGAGGATTGGGAGAATGTCATATGGTCAGATGAAACCAAAATAGAACTTTTTGGTAAAAACTCAACTCGTCGTGTTTGGAGGACAAAGAATGCTGAGTTGCATCCAAAGAACACCATACCTACTGTGAAGCATGGGGGTGGAAACATCATGCTTTGGGGCTGTTTTTCTGCAAAGGGACCAGGACGACTGATCCAAGTAAAGGAAAGAATGAATGGGGCCATGTATCGTGAGATTTTGAGTGAAAACCTCCTTCCATCAGCAAGGGCATTGAAGATGAAATGTGGCTGGGTCTTTCAGCATGACAATGATCCCAAACACACCGCCCGGGCAACGAAGGAGTGGCTTCGTAAGAAGCATTTCAAGGTCCTGGAGTGGCCTAGCCAGTCTCCAGATCTCAACCCCATAGAAAATCTTTGGAGGGAGTTGAAAGTCCGTGTTGCCCAGCGACAGCCCCAAAACATCACTGCTCTAGAGGAGATCTGCATGGAGGAATGGGCCAAAATACCAGCAACAGTGTGTGAAAACCTTGTGAAGACTTACAGAAAACGTTTGACCTGTGTCATTGCCAACAAAGGGTATATAACAAAGTATTGAGAAACTTTTGTTATTGACCAAATACTTATTTTCCACCATAATTTGCAAATAAATTCATAAAAAATCCTACAATGTGATTTTCTGGAATTTTTTTTCTCATTTTGTCTGTCATAGTTGACGTGTACCTATGATGAAAATTACAGGCCTCTCTCATCTTTTTAAGTGGGAGAACTTGCACAATTGGTGGCTGACTAAATACTTTTTTTCCCCACTGTATACCACGGCACGAAGCAACGCGGAGTACCTGGATACAGCCCTTAGCCATGGTATATTGGCCATATACCACAAACCCCCGAGGTGCCTTATTGCTATTATAAACTGGTTACCAACATAATTGGAGCAGTAAAAATACATGTTTTGTCATGGTATTGGCTGTCTGCCAATCAACATTCAGGGCTCGAACCACCCAGTTTATAAATAGAATTATGATATGATATAAGAGTGTGTACCTGTCTGTCAGAGGCTGGGGAAGACAGCGTTTGCCCAGAGAGGGGAGGTCCAGAGAGTCAGGCTTCTTATCCATCCTACATGCCTGGATGTTCAGGTACTTAAAGATGTGCACCTTGCCCTTCAGGCAGATCTGAAACACACAAATACAAAGTACATTAAATATATATCCAAGTGCTGAAATGAAGTGCCAAAGTGTTCATTCAAGCAGGAATTAAATCATAAGGGGACAGCTGCCCACTAGATGGCGCAACTGTTCCTCAGAGACTGATAAGGGTATATCCTTGTATATCATGAGAACTGTCACAGCTTGGGAGAGTTTCTAGGAATGATGCCGAGCAGAGGTTAACCTGTGTTAACTCGTTGGCACCCCATACCTGATACACATCGAGATGGCTGTGGATAATCCCATGCAGTGACAAATGTCATTTACAGCATAAACTACCACAGATGAACACGCGCACACACACACACACACACCTGTGCAGGTGGGGACTGCATAGGGTTGTTGTCGAGGATAATGTGCTGCAGCTGCCTGAGTCTCCTGTAGACAGGAGGGATCTCTGTGATCTTATTGCAGGAGAAGTCCAGTCTGATGAGCGGCAGGTCAGCCAGCTCTGGGGAGAGGAAAATAAAGAAAGCACAAGAGGGTTTGGATATAGAATAAGGAGAGAGATTACGGTAGACCTAGTTGTATCGAGGACGTAGACAGCTACCTACCTTCAGACCAGGGGAGAGAACGTAGACTGCTACCTACCCTCAGACCAGGGGAGAGGACGTAGACAGCTACCTACCCTCAGACCAGGGGAGAGGACGTAGACTGCTACCTACCCTCAGACCAGGTGAGAGGACGTAGACTGCTACCTACCCTCAGACCAGGGGAGAGGACGTAGACTGCTACCTACCTTCAGACCAGGGGAGAGGATGTAGACTGCTACCTACCTTCAGACCAGGGGAGAGAACGTAGACTGCTACCTACCTTCAGACCAGGGGAGAGGACGTAGACTGCTACCTACCCTCAGACCAGGTGAGAGGACGTAGACTGCTACCTACCCTCAGACCAGGGGAGAGGACGTAGACTGCTACCTACCTTCAGACCAGGGGAGAGGACGTAGACTGCTACCTACCTTCAGACCAGGGGAGAGGACGTAGACTGCTACCTACCTTCAGACCAGGGGAGAGGACGTAGACTGCTACCTACCTTCAGACCAGGGGAGAGGACGTAGACTGCTACCTACCCCCAGACCAAGGGAGAGAACGTAGACTGCTACCTACCCTCAGACCAGGGGAGAGGACGTAGACTGCTACTTACCCTCAGGCAGCATGTGAAGACAGTTCCTCCTGATGTTGAGTTCCCGTAATGCCTGGAGCCTCCCCACCTGAGGGGGCAGCACCTGGATCTCATTACAGCTGATGTCCTACAGGAGGAGACAGGAAGCAGGCTGTCAAACAAACACACACACACAGCAGTAACAATATACACTGCTCAAAAAAATAAAGGGAACACTTAAACAACACAATGTAACTCCAAGTCAATCACACTTCTGTGAAATCAGGGCGGCAGGTAGCTTAGTGGTTAAGAGCGTTGTGCCAGTAACCGAAAGGTCGCTGGTTCTAATCCCTGAGCTGACTAGGTGAAAAATCTGTCGATGTGCCCTTGAGCAAGGCACTTAACCCTAATTGCTCCTGTAAGTCGCTCTGGATAAGAGCGTCTGCTAAATGACAAAAAAAATAAAATAATAATAATAATCAAACTGTCCACTTAGGAAGCAACACTGATTGACAATAAATTTCACATGCTGTTGTGCAAATGGAATAGACAACAGGTGGAAATTATAGGCAATTAGCAAGACACCCCCAATAAAGGACTGGTTTTGCAGGTGGTGACCACAGACCACTTCTCAGTTCCTATGCTTCCTGGCTGATGTTTTGGTCACTTTTGAATGCTGGCGGTGCTTTCACTCTAGTGGTAGCATGAGACGGAGTCTACAACCCACACAAGTGGCTCAGGTAGTGCAGCTCATCCAGGATGGCACATCAATGCGAGCTGTGGCAGGAAGGTTTGCTGTGTCTGTCAGCGTAGTGTCCAGAGCATGGAGGCGCTACCAGGAGACAGGCCAGTACATCAGGAGACGTGGAGGAGGCCGTAGGAGGGCAACAACCCAGCAGCAGGACTGCTACCTCCGCCTTTGTGCAAGGAGGAGCAGGAGGAGCACTGCCAGAGCCCTGCAAAATGACCTCCAGCAGGCCACAAATGTGCATGTGTCTGCTCAAACGGTCAGAAACAGACTCCATGAGGGTGGTATGAGGGCCCGACGTCCACAAGTGGGGGTTGTGCTTACAGCCCAACACCGTGCAGGACGTTTGGCATTTGCCAGAGAACACCAAGATTGGCAAATTCGCCACTGGCGCCCTGTGCTCTTCACAGATGAAAGCAGGTTCACACTGAGCACATGTGACAGACGTGACAGAGTCTGGAGACGCTGTGGAGAACGTTCTGCTGCCTGCAACATCCTCCAGCATGACCGGTTTGGCGGTGGGTCAGTCATGGTGTGGGGTGGCATTTCTTTGGGGGGCCGCACAGCCCTCCATGTGTTCGCCAGAGGTAGCCTGACTGCCATTAGGTACCGAGATGAGATCCTCAGACCCCTTGTGAGACCATATGCTGGTGCGGTTGGCCCTGGGTTCCTCCTAATGCAAGACAATGCTAGACCTCATGTGGCTGGAGTGTGTCAGCAGTTCCTGCAAGAGGAAGGCATTGATGCTATGGACTGGCCCGCCCGTTCCCCAGACCTGAATCCAATTGAGCACATCTGGGACATCATATCTCGCTCCATCCACCAACACCACGTTGCACCACAGACTGTCCAGGAGTTGGCGGATGCTTTAGTCCAGGTCTGGGAGGAGATCCCTCAGGAGACCATCCGCCACCTCATCAGGAGCATGCCCAGGCGTTGTAGGGAGGTCATACAGGCACGTGGAGGCCACACACACTACTGAGCCTCATTTTGACTTGTTTTAAGGACATTACATCAAAGTTGGATCAGCCTGTAGTGTGGTTTTCCACTTTAATTTTGAGGGTGACTCCAAATCCAGACCTCCATGGGTTGATACATTTGATTTCCATTGATAATTTTTGTGTGATTTTGTTGTCAGCACATTCAACTATGTAAAGAAAAAAGTATTTAATAAGATTATATCATTCATTCAGATCTAGGATGTGTTATTTTAGTATTCCCTTTATTTTTTGAGCAGTGTACCTGCAGAGGTTTTTTATGAGCTCTGGGCCAGTGCTCACCAGTTCCATCAGTTCTTTGGCCTTCCCAATCTCCTCTGGGACAGACACTAGCTTGTTGTTGCTCACCACCAGCACTTTGAGAGGGAGGTTGAACAGGTATTTTGGCAATGTTGAAAGAAGGTTCCGGCTGCAGAAACACAAAATACACATGTACAATATAGGCAGTATTAAAGTTTCATCCTGTGTGCAAGGATAACATTGGAGACATCAGGAAAAGATCAAGCAATGAATGTCTCCTCAATGGGTTAACATAATGTTAGTGAAACAGAGAACCAGAGCAGCCTGATATCCATGGCTGTGTTCACACAGGCAGTCCAATTCTGATTATTTTTCCACTAATTGGTCGTTTGACCAATCAGATCAGCTCTTTTGCCAATAATTGAGAAAAAGCTCAGAATTGGGGTTGCCTGTGTAAACGCAGCCTAACTGTGTCTAGGAAATGAACAGTTCTGACTTAGACGGATCACCTTCAAAACAACATCACATAGTGTAGGCCTATTTCTCCCACTGTGAAAGAGGAAATGCTCTTGCTACTTGATCCTGTGAATCCCCTGAAAGGAGAACTCCATACTGAGATAAAGCAGAATAATACTGAACATGGGCCCTTGTATTTCCTCTAGCCTGGTGATATCATGGTTGTAGTATCTTAGGATGCTTCTTAGATCGAGGACTCCGGACACGTAAGTACGTTTTAGTATTTAATTGTAACTTAGAATAACCTTACAGGAATGCACCTGGCGTAAGCTACCTGAGGCTTTTTTGAGCACGGTTATAGCGCAGACATTTAAATGGCTATGGATAGCGAGAAGCAGACGCGATATTGAGTCAATACTGCAATCTATTGGTAAACATAATACTTAACATACTGTAAATATACCAGGTTACTACAATGGTGATATCATGTTACAGTATGAGGTCACTGGGTCAACAGATCACGCCACAGTGTTCGATGAGTCATCACTGACCTGATGTTTAGATAGGTCAGCATCTGCAGGTTGATGATGGCTTCTGGGATGCATTTGATGCAGTTGTGGTAGAGGTTGAGGGACTCGAGGGGGGCAAACAGACACACCTCTGGAGGGATCTCTGTGAGCCTGTTCTTCGACAGATCTGGGGGGAGGGGCAGACAAGAGACAGACAGCAGGTGAGGGTCATTGATACACAGGGACAGCATACAGTCAGTCATGTATGGTAAAATTCTTCATCAAGTAGCACAGATCAGGTGTTAGCTACTGTATGTATCAGGATTTAGTGTAAGAAAGGATCCAAACAGTCTCTCCAGAAGATGCTATACACTCTTAGAAAAAAAGGGTTATTCAGCTGACCCCATAGGAGAACCCTTTTTGGTTCCATGTAGAACTCTCTGTGGAAAGGTTTTTAAATGGAACCAAGAAGGGTTCTCCTATGGGGACAGCCGAAGAACCCTTTTAGGTTCTAGATAGCACCTTTTTTCCTAAGAGTGTAGGTTGGGTCGGATGAAATCTTCTGGGAGAGTAGATTGATTCCAGGCAGTCTTGACTGGTCAATATGTCTGAATGAGTGATCGATGGGAACAAGGCATGTTTCTCAAAGACAGCTGAAATGACACTAGGCCTTAGCACAGTTATTTTACACACAGACACAGACTCCAGCACACAGTCATGTCCATTTCCAGATCCATTCACAGTCTTTCCCATATCCATAAATCGATTCAATGAGAGTAGTCTGGCCTGTTCCGCTGCTTGTGTCTGTGTAATAGCTTTGCAGTTGACACATACTCTTTCAAATTCTGCATCAAACCAAAAACGAACCTAGGTCCTTTGGTGTTTCGTGAACATTTGTGGCGCTGTTGCAGTTGATACTTTTATCAAATAGATGGCAGAGATTTACTGACGACAGGTTGGTGAACCTGAGACAGTTAATCAGTCAGAGTTCAGTCCTCATCACGAATGGCACATTATAATACCTTATAGGCTTCAATGACAGGTAATACTTCACCCTGCTACAATGAGAGGTTAGGGTGTGTAAGGCAGGGGTTCTCAAATATAAATGAACAGTTGATGTTGAGATGTGTCTGTTACTTGAACTCTGTGAAGGACTTATTTGGGCTGCAATTTGAGGTGCAGTTAACTCTAATTAACTTATCCTCTGCAGCAGAGGTAACTATGGGTCTTCCTTTCCTGTGGCGGTCCTCATGAGAGCCAATTTCATCATAGCGCTTGATGGTTTTTGCGACTGCACTTGAAGAAACTTTCAAAGTTCTTGAAATGTTCCGGATTGACTGACCTTCATGTCTTAAAATAGGGCGGCAGGTAGCTTAGTGGGTAAGAGCGTTGTGCCAGTAACCGAAAGGTCGCTGGTTCTAATCCCCGAGCCGACTAGGTGAAAAATCTGTCGATGTGCCCTTGAGCAAGGCACTTAACCCTAATTGCTCCTGTAAGTCGCTCTGGATAAGAGCGTCTGCTAAATGACAAAAAAATAAAAAATAAAAAAAATAAAAATAAAAAAAAGTAATGATGGACTGTCGTTTCTCTTTGCTTATTTGAACTGTTCTTGCCATAATATGGACTTGGTCTTTTACCAAATAGGGCTATCTTCTGTATACCAACCCTACCTTGTCACAACACAACTGATTGGCTCAAACACATTAAGAAGGAAAGAAATTCCACAAATTCACTTTTAAGAAGGCACACCTGTTAAATGAAATGCATTCCAGGTGACTACCTCATGAAGCTGGTTGAGAGAATGCCAAGAGTGTGCAAAGCTGTCATCAAGGCAAAGGGTGGCTACTTTGAAGAATCTCAAATATAAAATATATTTTGATTTGTTTAACACTTTTTTTGGTTACTACATGATTCCATATGTGTTATTTCATAGTTTTGATGTCTTCACTATTATTCTACAATGTAGAAAATAGTAAAAACAAAGAAAAACCCTTGAATGAGTAGGTGTTCTAAAACTTTTGACCGGTAGTGTATATATATACAGTTGAAGTCGGAAGTTTACATAGACTTAGGTTGGAGTCATTAAAACTCGTTTTTCAACCACTAAGTTGACTGTGCCTTTAAACAGCTTGGAAAATTCCAGAAAATGATGTCATGGCTTTAGAAGCTTCTGATAGGCTAATTGACATCATTTGGATGTATTTCAAGGCCTACCTTCAAACTCAGTGCCTCTTTGCTTGACATCATGGGAAAATCAAAAGAAAATCTGCCAATACCTCAGAAAAGAAATTGTAGACCTCCACAAGTCTGGTTCATCCTTGGGAGCAATTTCCAAACGCCTGAAGGTACCACGTTCATCTGTACAAACAATAATACGCAAGTATAAACACCATGGGACCACGCAGCCGTCATACCGCTCAGGAAGGAGACGCGTTCTGTCTCCTAGAGATTAACATACTTTGATGCGAAAAGTGCAAATCAATCCCAGAACAACAGGAAAGGACCTTGTGAAGATGCTGGAGGAAACAGGTACAAAAGTATCTATATTCACAGTAAAACTAGTCCTATATCGACATAACCTGAAAGGCCGCTCAGCAAGGAAGAAGCCACTGCTCCAAAACCGCCGTAAGAAAGTCAGACTACGGTTTGCAACTGCACATGGGGACAAAGATCTTACTTTTTGGAGAAATGTCCTCTGGTCTGATGAAACAAAAATAGAACTGTTTGGCCATAATGTCCATCGTTATGTTTGGAGGAAAAAGGGGGTAGCTTGCAGCCCGAAGAACACCATCCCAACCGTGAAGAACGGGGGTGGCAGCAATATGCTGTGTGGGTGCTTTGCTGCAGGAGGGACTGGTGCAATTCACAAAACAGATGGCATCATGAGGAAGGGAAATTATGTGGATATATTGAAGCAACATCTCAAGAAATCAGTCAGGAAGTTAAAGCTTGGTCGCAAATGGGTCTTCCAAATGGACAATGACCCCAAGCATACTTCCAAAGTTGTGGCAAAATGGCTTAAGGACAACAAAGTCTGAATCGTTTGACCCAAGTTAAACAATTTAAAGGCAATGCTACCAAATACTAATTGAGTGTATGTAAACTTCTGACCCACTGGGAATGTGATGAAAGAAATCAAAGCTGAAATAAATAATTCTCTCTACTATTATTCTGACATTTCACATTCTTAAAATAAAGTGGTGATCCTAACTGACCTAAGACAGGGAATTTTTACTAGGATTATATATCAGGAATTGTGAAAAACTGAGTTTAAATGTATTTGGCTAAGGTGTATGTAAACTTCCGACTTCAACTATATATATATATATATATATATATATATATATATATACACAGTGGGGGGAAAAAGTATTTAGTCAGCCACCAATTGTGCAAGTTCTCCCACTTAAAAAGATGAGAGAGGCCTGTAATTTTCATCATAGGTACACGTCAACTATGACAGACAAATTGAGAATTTTTTTCTCCAGAAAATCACATTGTAGGATTTTTAATGAATTTATTTGCAAATTATGGTGGAAAATAAGTATTTGGTCACCTACAAACAAGCAAGATTTCTGGCTCTCACAGACCTGTAACTTCTTCTTTAAGAGGCTCCTCTGTCCTCCACTCGTTACCTGTATTAATGGCACCTGTTTGAACTTGTTATCAGTATAAAAGACACCTGTCCACAACCTCAAACAGTCACACTCCAAACTCCACTATGGCCAAGACCAAAGAGCTGTCAAAGGACACCAGAAACAAAATTGTAGACCTGCACCAGGCTGGGAAGACTGAATCTGCAATAGTTAAGCAGCTTGGTTTGAAGAAATCAACTGTGGGAGCAATTATTAGGAAATGGAAGACATACAAGACCACTGATAATCTCCCTCGATCTGGGGCTCCACGCAAGATCTCACCCCGTGGGGTCAAAATGATCATAAGAACGGTGAGCAAAAATCCCAGAACCACACGGGGGGACCTAGTGAATGACCTGCAGAGAGCTGGGACCAAAGTAACAAAGCCTACCATCAGTAACACACTACGCCGCCAGGGACTCAAATCCTGCAGTGCCAGACGTGTCCCCCTGCTTAAGCCAGTACATGTCCAGGCCCGTCTGAAGTTTGCTAGAGTGCATTTGGATGATCCAGAAGAGGATTGGGAGAATGTCATATGGTCAGATGAAACCAAAATATAACTTCTTGGTAAAAACTCAACTTGTCGTGTTTGGAGGACAAAGAATGCTGAGTTGCATCCAAAGAACACCATACCTACTGTGAAGCATGGGGGTGGAAACATCATGCTTTGGGGCTGTTTTTCTGCAAAGGGACCAGGACGACTGATCCGTGTAAAGGAAAGAATGAATGGGGCCATGTATCGTGAGATTTTGAGTGAAAACCTCCTTCCATCAGCAAGGGCATTGAAGATGAAACGTGGCTGGGTCTTTCAGCATGACAATGATCCCAAACACACCGCCCGGGCAACGAAGGAGTGGCTTCGTAAGAAGCATTTCAAGGTCCTGGAGTGGCCTAGCCAGTCTCCAGATCTCAACCCCATAGAAAATCTTTGGAGGGAGTTGAAAGTCTGTGTTGCCCAGCGACAGCCCCAAAACATCACTGCTCTAGAGGAGATCTGCATGGAGGAATGGGCCAAAATACCAGCAACAGTGTGTGAAAACCTTGTGAAGACTTACAGAAAACGTTTGACCTGTGTCATTGCCAACAAAGGGTATATAACAAAGTATTGAGAAACTTTTGTTATTGACCAAATACTTATTTTCCACCATAATTTGCAAATAAATTCATAAAATATCCTACAATGTGATTTTCTGGATTTTTTTTCCTCATTCTGTCATAGTTGACGTGTACCTATGATGAAAATTACAGGCCTCTCTCATCTTTTTAAGTGGGAGAACTTGCACAATTGGTGGCTGACTAAATAGTTTTTTTCCCCACTGTATATATATATATATATATATATATATATACATACATACATACATACACACACACACACATACACAATTATTATTATAAATATATGTTTTATAGATGAAGTACCTGAAGTACCGCTGACCCCATTTTGAGAACCCCTGGTGTAAGGAGAGTATAATTATGCTGCCCTCATTGACAGTAATATTTCGCTGAATTAATTACACTCACAGAGCTTACTCATTTCATGGGTCATG